CTAGCAGCAAACAATTCAACTGTTTTGCTGACGTAGATGATGACTTGATGACGAGGATGTAAAATTTCGATAACAAAGACGCAGATCGAACGATGGTAACAATTATGTGATTACCTGATGGCGATGATGGTGATGATAAAAACAATTATAACAATAATATTAATAAAAATAATAATAATAACATCAACATTGATAATGATGACCACGATGACGACAACGATAACAAAGTTGATGATAATTTGTCTCAGTTTGACAATGCTAATGACTTTGATGACGACGAAACCATATTTCAAAGCATCTAAGATGAACTTCATGAAGAAACAACAGCAATATTATTAATCACCGTTGCATTTACTTTTTGCCTTAGAATACAAAATTTAAAATAAAAAGCTTGAAGAGCAAGTTACTGGATTGTATTATTTACAAATTCCATTTTTCATCAACAAATCATAAAATAAACAAACATATTTAAATTAATTTTTCATTTTTGAATTTTTTTTTTAAATTAAAATTGTTAAAAAGAAAATAGAATTAAAACGATTTACAGTACAATTCCGTGGTTAAAAGTTTTCAAACGCCAAGCGAGATATCACAGAGTATGAATGACGCGTGTGTTACAACAACGAGACATTAAACGTTAACAACAACAACAACAAAGACAGCAACGATAATGTCGCCAGCAAAAGGTTTGTTGTGTGGGAAGTTCTGTATGCTGAGACACAAACGTTTTTGTTGTTGTAGTTGCTGTTGATGCTGTTGTCTTGCAGTTGAAAATATTCTTGAGATTTTGGTATGTAGTCATCTTTTGTTTGAAGTGTCGTCGCTCTATTTTTGTTGTTGTTATTGTTGTTATAATTGTTGTTGTTGTAGTTGTAGTTGTTGTTGCTTTTAAACGGGTTAGTATATAGATCGTAGTATGGTATGTTGTTGTTGTTGTTGTTGTTTTCGTTGTTTATTTTGTTGTTGATTTTGTCGTTACTGGTTGAACGTTGTTTGTTGGAAGATAGGCTGCTTGTTTGTTGCTGTTGTTGTTGTTGCTGCTGCTGCTGGGATGGATTCAACTTCTTCATCGTCGTCGTCTTCGTCGCATCTTTCCGCTCTGCAATGTTTTTATTATTTTTTTTTATTTACGCATTTGTATTTTTTATTAATTATTCCTTAATTTATTTTTGATTTATTTTTTTCATAAGAAATGAAACAAAAATTGGTTTAATATATTTCTCAGAAAATTAATCAGCATAAGTCAAAATAAGTTTGACTGAATGGATGGATAGATGGAAGTCTGGATTAATGAATGTATGGATGGATGGATGGATGGATGGATGAATTTATGATTGGATGAATTGATGAATGGATGAATTGATGAATGGATGGATGAGAGTAAATGAAGAGCAGCCAGGTAGTCTAAAAAATGTGACTAACAAAAACATATGAAAAGAGATGAGTTGTCAGTTATCTTGTATCAAATGTGGGAAAAAACTAATTTGAAAACAAAAAAATATGAAAAAACAAAAATGAATGAAAATTATTTGAAAACATTCGAGAAGAAATTTTTTTTTTATCATACAGCTATCCAACTATTCGGTTTAAAATCTTTTGCACTGAGTGTGTAAACAGATGGTGATTATGATGATGAAGATGATGATGAAGATGATGATGAAGATGATGATGAAGATGATGATGAAGATGAATATGAAGATGGTGATTAGGATGATGAAGATTATAATAACGATGATGATGACGATGAAGATGACGATGAAGATGATGATGAAGATGATGATGATGATGAAGATGATGATGATGATAAAGATGGTGATTAGAATGAAGAAGAAGATGATGACGATGAAGATAATGATGAAGATGAGGATGAAGATGACGATGATGATGATGAAGAAAAAGATAATGATGATAATAAAGTTGGTTATGCTAATAGTAAGAGTGGAGATGATAATGATGACAATGACGGTGATGGTTTCAGTTATTGTGCTAATGATGATACGATGACTATTAAATCAGATGAATCAGAACTCTGATTTTAGATGGTGAAGATTTTAACAATGACGACGATAATGTTTCTCTCAGTTACGGTTCAGAATCTTTAATTATTGAAGGATATTCAGTGAACAAACCAAAATTTTTAAAAATACTCAAATGACAAAGAAAAAAAAGAAAAATTATGAAAAATTATGAATTCCAAATAGAATTTACACCAAAAGTGTGTTGACAATGATGGCAATTGAGATGGCAATTGAGATGATCTGTTTTAAAAATTTTAAAAATGAAAAGTAGTATTACATTATAGATGAATGTTGTTTTTTTTTAAAAAAAAACGAACGATTTACAATAGAATGTAGAGCAATAACTTCATTTATAATGGCTGCTGGGAGAATAATGTTTCAAGAACATCTCATTTTTTCAACAAAAAACATTCTGTTGCGTTGTTGCAACTTTCCAATAAAAACTCCCAACAAACATGAAACATTAATAATGTTACACATATGTTTTAGTCGTTTTAGTCACCACCAACACATGCACTCGCACTTACATAAACACACACACACACACGCACACACACATACACACACACATACAAACACAAATGAATATGAAAACACCTAAACACACATCATAACACGCGTCTAAACTATGAAGTCAAGACATGAATAGAAAACAAAAAACACATACATAGGCACTCACATAAAGAATGCACATACACATGTACAGACGTACAGCAGACACAAACATCTACACCCACACACACACACACATACACCCACACACACACATACAAACACATACACACACACACATACACACACACACACATAGGCACAAATATCGAAGACATTGTTGAGCAGGAATCCATATGAAATAAATTGAATGGTTTACATGAGATGCAGTCGGAGGAAGGATAGCGAGGATGGAACGAAAGAGAAAGAGAAAAAAAGAAAGAGAAAGAAAGGGAGAGAGAGAGAGAGAGAGAGAGAGTAAAAGGGGAAAAAGACAGGTCCCATGTTGTGCATTAGTGCTTATTGTAGGATGACTGAGGTGCTATCTCCAACTTCTATGAGCCGTGTTGTCGATATATATGTGTTCATTTTAGTTTGCTCTTTTCGCTATGAGAGTGTGTGTGTGTTTGTGTGTGTGTGTTATAATTATACGTATGTGTGTATGTGTGATTCTTAGCTATACTCACGAATTCGTTGCAATGCTTCCACCATGTGTGTAATTAAGAAGAAGTAGATCAGAATAATGAATGTGTGCGCGAGTGTATGTTCATGCATGTGCGTGCATGCGTGCGTGCGTGTGATTGTTAATGTACCCGCACATTAAATTATTTCTGCATTGACGAAGTTGGTTGAGTCGTTCAGCGGTCTCAAGTGTGCCTAATGAATTTATTAATGTCAAACTGACTGTAGACGTTAGCTGGTCAGGAAATGAGGAAGAAAAGTTTCGGATGGCGTGTTTGTACATTTCAGTTTGGACCAAATATAAAATGCCCCAAAAATTACAGCTTCTGTAGCTGATACGTGATTTTGAGAACTTATCAAACTTTTAAAAAACTAATTGATATGAATAAATAAATGAATAAACAAACAATTAACTGACTCACAAAATGAACAAACAAATAAATAACTAACTCACAATAGACTGACAAGTGAATATTAACTTACATCAACATTAACAGAAAGAACAGTTCTTAAAGAACTGTTAATAAAATCGATCAAACTCAACTGAAAGACATCTTTCGCCATTCAATCTTGAGACAATTATCTTCCCATCGTATCTCCAGCAAGCACTCGCATGTACATTGCCTAAAACATATTTGCACGATCGAACGTATTGATATCAATCAATCAATCATTCAATCTATCAATCAATCTCGACATGTGGCAGTGTATATTTTTCAAAAAAAAAAAAAAAAAAAAAATCCCATTCAATGTCACATATCAAGTTTTAAACGTAGAATATAAGTAGATACACACTCAAATTTATGGATAAGAAAGAGTATGTCTACTCACATATCACCACACACACATACACACACATCACACACATACATACACATCACACACATACATACACATCACACATACACATAACACACACACACACACTCATACAAATTCATTATAACGAAAGTGGGAATAACCAACAAAAATATTTACTCAGTGCTTGGGTACGTGCATGCAGGCAAGCAGAGGGATATTAATATGGAAAATATTTCATTATTCGAAATGTTTGTCAGGTAGTTCAATAAATTGTGATGAATGTTGCAAATAAGAGTACGTCGAAAGAATAATTACAGCAACAAAAACATCAATATTAGCAACATTTATGACACCAAGAATTTGAATGACTGAATGACATTAACAATCGATTTCAAATGATAGCAACAATAACATCACGTACAATTAGCAACATCAACAAGCAACAACAACAACAACAACAATAACAA